CATTGTGATAACAAATTTAACTCGAATCATAGTTAACATGCTAGATAGCGCTAAACAATAAAACAATAAATCGATGCCGCTATTCCGGAAAGATAGAAAGGAATCGGAGGAACAATTCAGTATTCGTGATCTTTACGAATTCAAGGACATCTTAGGTACCGGTGCTTTCTCCAAGGTGTGCCCTTTCTCTGCTAATTCATTTTTTTTCAATCTTCTCTCTTTCTTTTTTTCTTCTCTCTCTCTCTCTTACATAACCTGATTTTTATTTGCACATATGTACATGGAAAAATTTAATAAAATCTGATTATGTCATCTCGAATAACGAAATCATTAAATAAGATTATACAAAAATCTGATTTAAAAAAAATTGAAAACAAAAACAAAGAGAAAAAGAGAGAAAAAAAAACAATAAATTAAAAATCTTTTACAAACTTTACGTTCATCAACCATTTTGCATGAATCATTTATTACAATCATTTTCACCTGTCCCCTTTTCCAATCATTCCATTCTTATTGTTATATATCAGTAATATATTGTCTGCTATTAATCATTCTTCTTTTTTTTTTTTTTTTTTACTTTTGTTTTAAATTTTATAGAATTATTACAGTTTACCTTTCTCTATTCCTCCCTTTTCATTTTCTTTTCTCCTCTCTACTTGCCATTTATGGCTCAATCCTGTCGTATGTCGCACAAAATTAAAATCATTACACATTTTGTAATTTGAAATGAATGCATTTGAAAATAAACATACCTGTTTCATTTCATAATGATTCTTTTCTCCAAATTTTCTTTTCCTTTTTTTTTTTTTTTTCCGTTTTATAATACAAAACGATGAAAATTTTCTTTTTTGGTTTTTTCTAAAAAGAAAAAAAAAAAGTGATTGGAATTATTTAACTTTTCAAATAGATCGTTACATATTTCTTTAGGCTTGAAAATGTTCCACTTTCATGAATCCTTCAAATTTAACATCAACTGTCCAATCATTTATGATAAATTTTGACGAATTGAAATAATGCGATGGACAGAATAATTTGTGAATAAAGTTTGATATGAAAATTTTAACAACTATTCGTTTACTATTTTTGAAATTTGGTATTTCAAATATTTCATTTTACTCATTTCCCTTTTTCATATTTAATATGAAAATGTTGGACGGATAGGATAATATTTTCTAATTATTATATTATCTGAAGCAGAAAAAAAACGGTGGAAAAAAAATTAATTAAATATTGCAAATATTTTTTTTAATTATTATTTACAAAATGTGAAACTCTCGTGTGAATAATTGCAAAATGTCATTTATTTGTCGGAAGATAATATTTGACTGATGACAAATTTTATCCTATTTAATATAATTTGCTAATTAAATCATGTTTTTCAACAATCAAATGTAAACTTTAGCACGACAATATTGCAATATGAAGGGGACAAAAAGTTAATTTTGAAATGTCACAAAAGATTACAATTAATTTTGTTACAGTAATACTTTGCCATTTTTCTTTCTTTTTTTTTAAAAAAAAAATTGCATAACAAGTAAAAATTCAATTTAAAAAAAGTACAAAATTGTAAATTGTAAAAATTTCAACAGTTATTACCATCAAATAATTCTGGTTAGTTCAGTTAAAAGGAAATACGAATGAAAATGAAGCAATCTTAAATCATTCAATTTAATCAGTTTAAAAAAAAGAAAAAAAAGAACGAAAAAATTGATCATAATTAAATAAGTTAACTTAAATTGTGAATTCTTTACAAATAAATTTAAAACATTTTTTTAAAATATTCAGGTTTTCTTGGCTGAACAAATATCAGAACCTGGTTTTTTGGTTGCAATTAAATGTATTGATAAGAAAGCACTGAAAGGTAAAGAAGAATCGCTAGAAAATGAAATTAAAGTATTACGCAAGTAAGTTACATCCTACTCTCTTTTACTTATTTAATCAACAATACTTTATTGTTGCAATAACTTTTTGCTTTTTAAAGAAATAAATAAATTATTTTATTATTGATATGACATTATCTTTTCGTCATCTGCACTTCCTATCATTTATCAACATCGGTTTATCACTTTATTTTCACTGAAAATTCCGTTTATTTTGAAAAATTAAGAGAAAAAAAAAGGTTTTCGCAACAAAAAATATTTGAAAAAAAAGATAGCTAAAAGAAAGTTGAATTTAGGTTTTTTAAAAAATGCAAAAGTAAACTATTAACAATAACATTCCAATCTTCCTCTGAAAAAGAAAAAAAAATATAAAATAAAAGTCTGACATAATGCTATTAAACATTGCTTTTAGTATTACTGCAAATGTTTTATACTAAATGAGTAAAATCAGTTTAATACATTCAACAAAATCAATTTAATATATCCGATAAAATTTGAAATAAAGGACGATTGTTTCAATTTAAATAAATTATTTGTATAATTATTTTTTTTTATATTATTTGTATAATTACCAAACTATTATCATTCATCAAAACATTTTTCATTTTTTATGTTTTTTTCTGCCTCGAATTTTACAATTTTTTAAAAATTAACTCAACATTTTTCTTTTATTCAGATTACGACATTCAAACATAGTGCAATTATATGACACTTTTGACGAGAAACAATATCTCTATCTTGTTATGGAACTTGTCACTGGTGGCGAACTTTTTGATCGAATTGTCGCAAAAGTATTGTTTACGTTAATATCATACCCTGATGTAATTTCATTCAAAATTCTTTTACTTGCAACACAAATCTTTTTTTTTAAAGCATTTACATATCAAAAAAAAAGGAAAAAGGAGAAAATTAATTAATAAGTAATAAGTAGATTTTTTTTTTTAAAAAAACTTAACAGTTAGCAACGAAAATTTGGAATATTATTACTAGCGTATTAGCAAAATAAATCTAGCATGCACTTCTTTTTTTTTTTCTCTACGGACATTTTTGGAATAAACTAGTCAAAATTTCAAATATTCTATTTACTTTTTGAAATTTATCAATTGTTGTTTTTATCAAAGAAAATAATTGCTAATAATTATTGTGTATTAATTAAAACGGACATTTTATATTTCATGCAATTAATTTCATATTTTATGTTCGTGATTAGATAAGATAGATCAAAAATAATTAATTAACGAAATATTTGAAAAATGTGAATGAAAAAAAATATTGTCACTAACTCTTTTTTTTTTTTTTATAGGGTTCATTCACGGAGCGTGATGCATCGATATTGATGCGACAGGTACTTGAGGCAGCTGCATTTATGCATGAAAATGGAGTCGTTCACAGGTAATGCTTTCTTTTTTTTTTTTGAATTCATAAACATGATAATTAATGCATAGCAGAAGATAGTATGAAGATAACAAAACATAGAATTAAATTAGTTAAGAAGAGAAAATAGAATAGAAAAAAAAAGAAAACAATAAAGGTAATACCTTTATTGTTTTTTTTTTTTTTTGGTTTTCGTTTTGCTTTTTAAAAAACGATTAAAAAGTAATTTAAAAAGTTAAAAAATGGGAAGTAATTTCGATCCCCAAAGTTTTAGAGAGTAAAAAGTAAAGCATAAAAGTAATGCTAAATTACTGATTTCATGATTTTTTTTATCAGCACAACCATTACTTATCAAATATTTTTGTTTTTTTTGGAACTTTTACTTAAACATAAAAGTAATATCGATTTTCTGACTTCATGATTTTTATCAGCAGAATCATATTTT